ATTGCCTAACTTCAGTCAAAGGAGCATGATCTTTCTGGCCTGTGGAAATGATCGAGTGACTCGGCAGGAAAAGCCAGAGCCGGCCAGCGGGGCCATCTCTTCTCTTCCGCACGGTCTCACACTCAGTTCCTTTTTGTCCGCTGCAGTACCAAGGTCCCAACAGCCTCGAAAGGAATGCAATTCCAGGAAGATTCACACCTGCAGATTTTTATTTAGTTGGTGGGTGTGATCAAGGGCAGGAGGCCTTGGGCTTATGCAGTGGTTCTCAACCTTCTGGCCCTTTATATACAGTTCCTCATGTTGTGACCCAACCATAAAATTATTTTTGTTGCTACTTCATAACTGTAATGTTGCTACTGTTATGAATCACCATGTAAATATCTGATATGCAGGATGGTCTTAGGCAACCCCTGTGAAAGGGTCGTTCGACCGCCAAAGGGGTCGTGACCCACAGGTTGAGAACCGCTGGCTTAGAGGCACAATACTGGTCCCATTTCTGTCTCATCCTGAAGCCACTGGGTGTATTATGGCAGCAGGAAGAGGGAGAAAGGACTGCACAGTAAAGCTAAATTTTCTCTGTGTGTGTGTGTGTGTGTGTGTGTGTGTGTGTGTGTGGCAGGGAGGTGGAGGATATGGCTGCAGGGCATGCTGCCTTGGAGGAAGACATTTCTCTCCTTGGTAGATAGGTAGGTATGGAGGGTGCACTGGCCCTAAGGACCACTGTTGACCTCCGGAGCTCATGTGTCCCCCACCCCTCACGCCTGTGATAAGTGTGGGCTGTGCCCTGTAGTGACTCAGAGGGTCCCAGAGGCCCAGGAGGAGGGGAGCTCTCAGGGGGTGAGAGCATCCTCCCTGTAGATGCTCTGGCTGCGCCATTTAGTGATTGAGTCCGACTTCAGGAACCCCCCACACTGAACAATTACAGGCTTTCCCTGAGCAGGGAGGGCCTTGGGGATGCAAGGACAACACCCAGCTCCCTGTGGGCAGCAGTGGGGGGGGGTTCCGAATGGGAGACCACCAAGGAGCCCCTTCCCTGAGCATCAGGAGTGAGTCACTCTCTCAGGAGACCTCCTGTCAAAAGTTGAAAAAATTTTCATCTCCGAAGTCCTGAGAATAGTCATTTTTATGCTTATCTCTCTTTTAAATCAGTATTCCCTCTAGTTATTCCCGTATCTTCCATTAAAAATGGGACATTCGCAACCCCCTCGTGTGCGAGAGGCCCTGGGAATTCGGGGGCAGGGAAGCTAAGGGAAGTCTGGCTTTGCCACCTCAGCCCATCCACCGAGACGGCTGGAGGAAGTGGCATCCTCCAAGGGACAGTCCCAGGGACCCCGTTGGAGCCAGCATCCAGGGAGTAGAGGAAGAGCCCAGGCCAAGTAGGGGACATGTCTTCTAAAGCAGCGGTCGCCAACCGGTGGTCCGCAGACCACTGATGGTCCATGAGGTCCCAAAGGTTGGCAACCGCTGCTCTAAAGCTCACAGGGAGAAGAAAGGCTCAGACTATGCCTGAGCCACAGTCTTTGACTTTATATGGAAGAACCTTCTGGTCTCCTTTCTCCCAGTCTTTAAGACTCATAGAGCATTCTGGGAGATATACAGTGGGGCCTTGACTTACGAGTGTCCCGACTAACGAGTTTTTCGAGATATGAGCCGTCTCTCAGCCGATTTTTTGCTTTGAGTTGCGAGCTAAAATTTGGTCCAAATGTAGTGAGTTATCACAAATGCTTGTACACAGTCTGTTACAGATTGAAAGCGAGCTAAAATTTGGGTTACGAGCCAGGTTCAGATACCCCACCGCTAGTTGGCGCAGCGAACGTCACAGTGAACGCCACAACATCAAAATTGATTTGACATACGAGTAATTTGAGTTATGAGCTCCGTCACGGGACGAATTAAACTCGTAAGTCAAGGCCCCACTGTAGTGGGTAGCCTTCTGGTCCAGAAGCCCAGGGCAGAACAAGAACTATGCTCTGGCCTCAACCTGCTCTGCCTGTGGGCCTCGGGAGAGTGAGGGGGCTGGGCCAAACGGCCTGGAGCATCCTGAGGCCATGGTGACAACAAGCAGACACAGCTTATTATCCTCACCATGACCCAGAAGCCTAGTCCGGATTCATTTCCAACTTTCACGTGCGCTGGTGACTCTCCCTTTTAAAGGGGACAGAGCAAAAACATGGTCTGAGTTTGGCCAAGGAAACTCAGCCCACACTTGAAGTGCTACCCGTGGTGAGTAGTCCGGCGCCAAGGATCCCAAGCATAAACCACAGTGTGTCAGGTAATAAAAGCAACGCCACTGCCTATCTGTCTCAGAGGGGTGATGTGAGTGACTTAATCTTAAGAGAGCTAAATAAAGGCAGTCTTACCCTAAGCACAGAGGGCTTAGCTTCCTACTCGGCTCCGTGGGGCCGCGAAACAGGTGAGATGAGCATGTCTTGCATTTTAGAGAGAGCCCATTCAGAGACCCCTGAAGAGGAAGGAAGGGCACCACCCTAGCCCTGCAGAGCCTGCCCGTGGCTGGGTCACGGTCACAGCCCGGTTCCAGGAGAGGCTTCACCTGGGAGAGTTGATTTGCATATCAGCCTGCACGGTATTGTACTTACAAAACAAACATTTTCAGCCAAAATCTGTTCCTAGCAGCCTGGAAAGAGCAAACCCATCCACATGGACCGTTAGCAAGTCCTTCACACTCCTCTTTGTGGCTCTTCCCTCTGCTTCCTGCATCACTGTCTTACCCATGTGGTTCACCTTCATCCTTAAGGAGGTCAAGAGTTGACCTTTCGCAGACACTTAGCCCCTGACAGACATCTCCTACGGCACCTGGGAAACTAAGTAAAGGAACCACCTTGAGCTTGACCTACCCAGATAATGAAGCTGATCTGGATGATGGCTTCCAGAGCTTGTGGGTTGGGGAGCCTATCGAAGGGTTGGGAAAGCACCGTGGCCCTTTCCCCACGCCTTACCCTATGCATCTCTTCCATTTGGCTGTTCTTGAGTTATATCTTTTAGAATAAACAGGAAAACAATAGGAAAGTGGTTCCCTGACTTCTATGAATTGGTCTAGTAAATTTTCACACCAGAGGAGGGAATTGTGGGAACCCGCTGGATTTATAGCCTGTCAACCAACAGTACACCCTGGGCTTGTGACTGGCATCCGAAATGGGGGCAGTCTCCTGGGACTGAGCCCTTAATTTATGGGATCTGACGCTAACTCCGGGTTGGCTGTGTCAGTATTGAATTGAATTGCAGGACACCAAGTGGTGTCAGAGAGCTGGAGACATAGTGCCCCCCCAAAATACCATTTGAGTAAGACATGTAGGAAGTAAAAATAGTTCAAGGGTTAAAAGCACATAAGAGAAAAATCTAACAAACCTTTGCTAGTGCAAATACACCACCCATAAGTTCAAAGAAGTCCAGGACTTACTTTCTAATCTTATCACCTGTGGCTCCATGAGAATTAGCAAACATACTTGTTCGTATGCAGCAAGTGTTAGCAACCTACTTTGCAAAGCCAGGAGACTGATGGATCGCCCAATCTAAGTTCAGCGGGCTGAAAGTAATACAGTCATGCTATTCCAAGAAGAAGAATGACAGTCATCAGTACAGGGTGTCCTCCATCTCAAAGCACTATGTTCAGTGAGTCACACAGTCCTGCCTTAATCCTTTCCAAAACCCTATCCAGTGGGGCTATTGTCCCTTTTTAATACATAAACAAACTAAGTCTCAGAGAGACTAATCAACTTCCTTGAAGTTATCCTGCTAGTCAGTGAAGGAACAGGACATTTTGTTTAGGTCTTTCTCAATATGAATACATTCTTTTAACCGCCGTGTAACACTGGCTCCCAGAAGCTGTTTTATGCAAAGTACTATATCTCCTTATTGCAATATTCTAGTGCACTGTAAGAGATCAGATATCCTCGAGGTTATCATCTTTATCCTGGTCACTGTCATCATTAATAGTATTTCAGCCCTGCCAGTGTGGCTCAGTGGTTGAACATTGACCCATGAACCTGGAGGTCACGGTTCGAGTCCCAGTCAGGGGCACATGCCTGGGTTTTGGGCTTGATCACCAGTAGGGTGTGTGCAGGAGGCAGCCGCTCAATGATTCTCTCTCATCACTGATATTTCTATCCCCTTCTCCCTCTCCCTTCCTCTCTCTCTGAAATCAATAAAAACGTATTTTTTAAAAATAGTTACTTTATACAGGCCTGCAGAGCTGTGGCTTCCCTGAGGGACTAGCCACATAATTCGTGGGGCCCAGTGCAAAAGAAAGAACACAAGGTCCCTTTTTCTTAAGAATTTCAAGATGGCAACTGCAAAGCGTTAAACCAAGGACAGGACCGGTCTGAGCTCAGGACCCTGAAGCCGACCATGTTTCCCTGTTTTCCTACATTTCTACTCAAATAATCTAAGATTCTCTTGAAGGAGGAATCAGAAATTCCTGTGCTAAATAATTCATCCAGTGAGCTTTTTGACTGCTTCCATGTATTTATTCAACAAATGCCTATGGTAATAGGACATGAGAAACTCAAAGGTTAGACACAAATTGTCCTTGCTGCTCCTTAAAATCATGGGGCCATCTTCATCGCACTGGCTGGCCTCAGCAGTCAGCTTCAAGGGGAAGCGATAAAGTCCTCTTTAGACCAACATATGGGCACATGGGTACGTCCCTGACTCCTCTAGGGCTGCCTTCTGAGGGAGCGGACCTATAACAAAAACACGGCATTTTCACGCCTATTTTAATTGTGTCTCCTGCTTCCAATGGGGTTGGAACACAAGCTAGATTTCTGGGGTGGTTGGTTAGTCGCTTTGAAAAGAGAAATATCTGTTTTCATGCTTCCTTTCTCGTATTGCTTATTCTGGGGCCTTTCCAACCCTTTCAAAATGTACTTTGCACTCCCTCAAGTGTCTTTTTCTACCTCTTCAAAGGCCTCTCTTCTTCCCCCGGTTACCCCTTCACCTTCAAAAGTCTGTCAATAGCCCAGGCAAAACCAGGCGGGACATACCCGAGCTCAGGAACCAGCAAATCTTGTTTGAACCCCGCTGATGACTCTCAAGGAGAAGCCAGGAGGAGGACGACAAGGAGCCCAGACCACACTGGTAAATGGTGACCGCTGTCAATTCCACTGCTGCCCAGTTGTCCCGGATGTAGTCTTGGGCTTTCGAGAGCTCTGCTGGTTGATTTAACAACTCCAGGTCACTTGGAATGTAAATAATCGACGTGGTATGGCTTCCCTTCTTAAAAACCAATGCAACAGCTGCTGCTGGCCTGGGAAAGAGGCAATTCACCTTCTGGCTCTTGCTTCAAAACAGCAGGAAAATCACCATTGCCCGCCGCTGCCGCAGTGAGGCTCCACCGTGCCCCCTTCTGGACAAACTGGTTTGGTCTTGCTGATTGCTGAACAATGATGTGTGGACTACCTGTGGGGAACTGGAGTTTACTTTCCTGGGAACCCATAGAGAGCCTTCCCGGGGGAGAGAAAGCAAATAGAGTAAAACCACGATCTGTATATGCTTGCTTCTCCCACCTAACAATGGCTTCTATGTCAAAGGAAACATGAAAACTCAGCATCTCTCCTTGGACTCTATTTTCACCTAAAAACAAACAGCAGTTTGCATGCCCTGGCTCTGGATCGAGGAGGACTCCAGCACCGGCAGTGAGGATGGTGAGGGTGGTTTCCGCTGAAGACCTTCCTGTAAGGCTCAGGGAGGGGTTCCATAAACTAGCCCCTCATCCAATCACAGAGTTCTCACTGAGGGTCAAGAAAGAAGGTGCTGGGCACATTTTTTTTGTCTTGTCCCATCAGGACACAACAAATGCCCCTCAACGTGTCCCGCCGCCAGAAAAGTCCAGGAAAGAACTCCACTTCAGGAAGTATAAAAATTCCAAACATGTTCATTGAGGTTACCAGAAAACGCACATACCAGCTACGAGACATTCTTTCTAGACTCATGACTCTTTTTTCTTTTTTCTCTCCAATTGCAGTTGACATTCAGTATTATTTTAGTGTCAGGTGTACAGCATAGTGGATAAACACTTACATAATTTATGAAGCGATTCCCCCATTAAGTCTTGCATCCGCCTGGCACCATACATAGTTACTGTATTATTAACTAATATTCCCTTACCTGCACTTGGCATCTCTGTGACTATTTTGTAACTGCCAGTTTGTACTTCTTAATCCCTGTCCCTCTGACGAGCATCAGTCTGTTTTCTGTATCTTTGAGCTTGTTTCTGCTCTGTTTCTTCATTTATTTTCTTTTTTAGATTCCACATAGAAGTGACTTATTTCACTTAGCATAATACCCTCTAGGTCCATCCTCAAATGGTAAGTAAGATTTCATTCTTTTTTAAAGCCTGGCTCTTATTTTCTAACCACAATAGGAAGCCAGAGAAGAGAATTCTATTGGGGATGGTTAAACATTCAGAATCTCTTCAAAAGTTAAAAAAGCATCCATTTAACAACATCGTTGTCAGCTTCTGGGCACTTATTCTAAATCCGTGTTTCAAGCAGTGTAACTGTTGGGCCTCGGATTTTATTCACTGGTGATAATTTAAATATCATCTTTGACCTGAGAAATCCTTTGTGTCTGAATATCAAATGCATGCTAGCTTCTCCTTGCTTTCCTTCATAAGAAGCAAGGAAAAGGAATAGGAAGACATCCTGAGAGGAGGCAGGAAGTCCTGGGAGAGATGGGGCATGGGGAGTGGGCTCAAAGTCTCATCTGATTCAACTCCCTTGCTTTTTAAAATAACAGCAGCTCTAGGAGTTTGTCATCTTTCCCAGACAGCAGCATGGGAGCACGACTGACTATGACAAATACATTTTTGGCTTCACAAGATCAGTTGCTCTCCAACTAATTATTCTTGTAACCTATCTGAATCCTATCAATCCTTAGCAGTCAAAACCTGGTTACTGACTCCTGGGCCAAGAAGTTCATCTGACTAGAACCTTAAAAAGAGGCTGTGTCCCAATAAGCAAAAGGTCATGAATTCTCAAGTTTGGCCCTCTCACCCCTTAAAACCAACCCCTTCTGCCCTCTATGCCCTTAGCGTCTCTTTCCCAAGGTAGACAATTGAATTACACTAACACACAATTGTAATAATGCTAATAAGTTGGGGCACCAAGGAATTAATGTGGTCCTGATCCTCAGAGAGATACGAGGATGTGAGCAGACAGACAAGAAAACACTCAGCACTCGTTATAATGAAATGTTCTAACAGAGGTCTGAACAAAGTGCCATGGGACAAGGTCGTTGGAAGAGGCCCAGCTCAAATGTCACCTCTTCTGAGCGCTTTCTCTATGTAACCCAGGCTGTGTTCAATCGGGAAGCTTATTGAGTGCTTGGTGCCCGTGTCCAAGGGGATGCAGTGATGAACCAACCAGCCCTCAGAATGCTTACATTCCTGAGGTCGGTCGATACTAAAAAAAAGATAAACAAATAAAATATTTAAAAATTCTAACTGATGCCATGAAGGAAACAAGCAGGGGAAATGAGATAGGACTAAGAAAGGCAAACCTATTTTTGGAGGAGTGGTGCGAGAAGAGCTCTCTGGGAAATGGCATTTAAGCAGAGAACTAATGGTTACTCAAGGATGTCAGCCACCTGAAGAATGGCAGTAGGTGGAGCGTGGGAGCAAAGAAAATGGGTCCTAAGGTGGGCAACACCATAGGGTATCTGAGGAACTGCCAGTTAGAGGGGACTGTGTGGCTTCCAATAGGGCAATGACAGTTGTCTGGGCTGAATGTGATGGCCATGGCAATGGAGAGAAAAGGCCAGACTCAAGGGACATTTTTGAGATAGAACTGAGAAAGCTTGTAGGGTGGGGCTGATGGAAGAGAAGCAACAGGGGTTTGACTATCTAGGTAGATGATAGTGCCGTTTTCTGATATGGAGAGAACTTGGGAGGTAGTAGGGATGCATCTGCGGGGGGAAAATAGCAAGAGTTCCATTGTATCCTTGGCAACTCCAGCTGTCATGGGTACATTGTACACTGGGAGATGGCAATTAGGTGGTAGGATGTATGAACCTGGAGCTTGGAGAAAAGTTCTGAGATGTAAATGTATCACTGGGGACTTATTAGTATACAGGTGTCATGTAGATGCCCAAGACGTGATCCAACGAGAATGCAGAGCTCAGAGAATGGGGATCAAGACTGAGTCCAAGGAAGTTTCACAGGCAACGCAAGAGTACAAACAAAGGGTTAAAGGAGAAAAGAGAAGAATTCCAGCTAGGAGACTTAGAAAGGCTTGTGGAAGGTAGGTCCCCATGCTGCTCCCCTCCCCGCCCCCATCAAAAAAAATAGCAACCCCTACTAAAACCTACCCAGCTCTAGCTGGCTGACCAAGGAAGCTACAGAAATCAGGAGGAGCTGGTGGCCCCATCTGTCACCTACAGATCACCCTGGACTGCACAGATCTGGGAGTCCAGACAGGTGGCCTTTTCCTTCCTCACTGTTCTGAGTTATCCTTCCCTGTGCTGTGGGATCAGGAAGACTGTAGGAAGCTCTGGTCAGGCCCACACAGAGCCGCTTGCCTTGCCCTACTCTGCAAGCATCTCTAGAGCAAGCCAGGGTCCTAGTTCTTTCTTTCATCAGCTTCTTGCACAAAGGGTACTCCGGACCAATCATCACTCAGGACCAAACCCTTCCCTTAGCATATGGACATGCTTATAGCACAGCCACCCAAACACTAAAACAAAAGGCCAAATGCAATCCTGGTCTCCTCTGCATCTATTTTCTTATGCCCATCCTCCCCTTGATGGACACACTCTTGAAAAACAATTTACAATCATTTTCTCTCCGTCCATTCTCAACCAACACCGGCACGGCAAAGTAGCCACCGCTTTGCTGACCCATCTCTGGCACAAGCCGGTGGTGTCCTTGAAATTGTTCAACCCAATGACCACTTTTCAGTACTTATATCATTTAACTTGCCTACAGCTTGCAGCACTATCATCCATTCCAAGATACCCATTCTCCCTGACTCCCCTCCTTACCACTCAGCATCCTGTGCACCCCGAATCACCTCTCTCTGCCCATCTATGGATGCTAGAGCTCCCCAGGTTTCTTCCCTCAGCCCATTTTTTTTTCTAGCTTCATGATCTATCTGAGTGAGCTCATTCACTTCTATGATCATAAATACCACTTCATAAAGGCCCCAGCCTCTCATGTATCCAACTGCTCGGTGAGCATCTCCACCCAAAAATTCTAACCCAGTATGCAGAACCAAATTCATTACCTTCTCTTTCAAATGGACCATCTCGCTCTCTTTTCTGCACTCTCCTCTACCACCCTTCATTTCTGTCTCAAGCCAGAAACCAAGAGACAGCTTTATGCCTCCCTCTTGCTCACCCACTACATGCACTTGGTCACTGAGTCCTTCTAAATGTCCTTGGAATCCGCTCATGCAAACAGAGCCTGTGCCCTACACTGGACTGTTACCTCCCACCTGAATCACTGCTGTCACCTAAATCATAACTGGTCTCAGTGCCCCTGCCCCATCTACTCCTCCAATTCATATTCCACCCAATGTTGTCATAATAACAGAGACTTGGAGATAACCTGTCTATCAATCAGGGGCTGGTTAAATCAATTATTATATGACCATCCAGTGGACTGTTATCAGATACATCTAACACAGCATATATACCCAGAAGTATAAACCAAAAAGCAAGTTGTAGAATTGGCTGTATAGGATGATACAAGTTGCATATTAAGAATAAAATGTTTACATGGCATAGAAAAATGTCTCAAAGGATAACCCAAAAAATGAGTATTTCTAGAGAACGGGATTGGGATGGGAGGCAGTTTTACTTCTTTATTTTTATGCCTTTCTGTAATATTTGAAGTTTGGGTTTTTTTGTTTTAGTTTTTTAATGATATCATGTGTTTTGTTATGGGAAAAGAACTACTGATCCAAACCACAAAAAATTAAAAGTTTTTGCTAAAAGTAATTTCTTTGAAAGTAGACAGTAAATCCTTCAAAGTCGTTAATTTGGCTGGTAGCGAGAGCCTATGTGCAAAATGTGTTTTCTAAATGTAGATTGAATACAATCAATGTTGTCTGTACCCAAATACTGGAAGCAGAGGCGTCTTACCTGCTGTAGTAAATACCAGAGTTGTAACTTACAAACAGGTAAGGAAGGGAAGCAAAGGCAAGTTTCAATGTTGGGTTGCTTTACCTTCTATTACGCTCCAATGAGCCACTTGAATTAAGCTGTTGTGCTAATAAAAACACAAACACATTGATCATCAATGTCCTGGATTCAGAGAGCAGAGTCGACTGCTCTGAGAACATAAGGGGAAATATCCACAGGTATAATTTACAAGGCCTCAGATTATGTACAAAAGTGTTCTTTCATCTCTGCACATATCTCAATATTTACCAAGGGAATAGAGAAGAGAAATGTCAACATCCGAGCACCTTTGGC